CATTGCTTCATTACAGCAAAATAGTATGTCTCCATAAGAATTGAAACAGTACACTGGAATAAGAATCGTCATGTAAACAGAATGAGCTTTTGGTGGTGTATATAACAGAGGGCCTTAAATAAAAGTGGACGTTTTCTTAAAGTGAACAGTGAAATTTTAGCTTCATTAAAGTACCATGAGCTCATCGTGACAATTCATGTTGAACCTGCAGCAAATTATTAATTACATTTGGAGGCTTCAGTACCAAATTTTTATAATATGTTTGCCTTGAAAATAAGAATTTGTTATAACAACTCAAAGTTCTGCTCTTAGTAATTATATTTTTGAATAATGTGGGTTTTTTAAACTTTTAAATCTAGTTGCTAAAAATTAAAAAAAAAACCAGCTCCCTGACAAATCAGAATATCTGACTATAATTTTTATTTTTTCTTTGAGGGAGGCTAGTGGGTAGAACAGAAAATGCACAGCTGACATCACAAATCACAAGGTGATTTCATCCTTTGTCTAAATGACACTTGGCTGCTAAAAACATCAGTTTTAGAGGGCTGTTCAGGAGGAGAGGGGGTAAGTCAGGATGTTTCCATGTGTGACCGCAGGGGAATGACACCAGGTTAGTCACACGGGTTGCTTAATTTCCATGTACTGAGCCCCACGACTTCAAGGCTCGGCAGCTTCCTCCTTCATGGCACCAAACCTTGATGTGGGGGAGGCAAAGATATAAGAATGATGGGTTTGTGGTTTGTCCTGACTTGAAATGTAGGGGACTGGCTGACAAAAACCCGAAATAAAAGGGATGTTGTATTAACTGTTATGTATAACAACAAATATAATGAATGGAAGAATTGGTATTAGGGTTAGACAATGCAGACCATAGAGATCAAACATTTAAAACTAAATTATGATGAAAACCAATTGGCCTTAACTTTTGTAATATGAGGGTATCTGTCATGTCTTTGGAAAGGAGTTTATACATAACTGATTTAGTCCTAAGGCTGCTGAAATGTGGGGCTTCTCTGTGTGCTATCTTAAGTCAAGGAAACCATAGAAGACATCAGTGAGAAACTCTGGGCAAATCTTGATGCTGCCCTGGGGTTGCCCACATACTGTGGGGGCTTTGTCTTTGTCGTGGGACTCACAAAGGACCATGTCTGGATTTCCGTCACCTAGGTGAGCTGAAGTCAAAACCAAATGGAACAGGACCGGGCTTGGCCATTTTTCAAAAGAAACCATCAGAGATGGTAAATGAGGGTGGGTCAAATAAAGTATGTCTCTAGTTCAACTTTTCTAAAGGGGAAGATTGAGTGATGAGGTAAATGAAGTCTGTTCTTCCTTGACTGGAGACCCTTCCTCTCACCCTTATCCCTTTTGACTCTTGCAAAACAGCTTTCTCCAAGGGAAGGGGAGATGACAAATGAGTGAAATGGTGCCAGAGTTAGCTGGTGCCAGGAAACGCACACTTGGATTCAGCTAATTTGTCCTGTTAATGTCAAAGGCTGTAATTTCCAATTAACTAATTTTAAGAAGCAGTAACTAAAAATAGCTATGCTAACTCTGGAGTTGGTGTCTGATGATGATGACTGGGACCTGCAATTAAAAGAACTGGTGCTCTAAAGAGGTGGTGCTGTCTGCCTGAGACCAGCCTTCAAAACAAAGCCATGGCTGGTGTGGATTTTCAAACAGGGTTTTGTCCCATGAGAGAACTTGAATGGAGAGAGTCAAGCCCTAGACAAATGTCCCGAAGATTTGTGTCCACTCAGCTTACTAATGGCAGAAGCATCCGTGCTAGTGGGGCTCTCTGAGATGCTCCCCAGTTCGGGTGGAATTAATTAAAGCAGGCATGCAGTTTGCAGTATTTCCTGCTCTCCCACCAAAAGGCTCCAAACACAGAAACCAGAACAGCTCGAGAAGCTGAGCCAAAAATGACTCCACCACCTTGCCCTCCGCCTCTTCCTTTATATTGAAATGGAAAGATGCTGGGTAAAAAGACAGTGGATTCAAGGTTCCTGAGCCATCAAGGGCTTTAATGACCTTGGGATAGGGTGAAAATAAAAGTCATCATCACCAGTTGTCAATTCATTCAAAATATCAGGAGGAAAACTGCCCAGGCACAAGCTAGGGCGGCTGAATCTTTTGCCTCTAGAAGTTCAGTTATTGCCTTTGTAATATTAAAGGCCAGCAGGGAGCCCTGAGGGTTACCTTTTGTGCTGTGTTGCTGTGTTGTGAGTTTCTGGTTTCAGGTTGTAAAAAGGAGGAAAGGTCCCTTAAGAAAGCAAAGAACGTTGAGGATGGGTGGGACCAGATTTTCTCCTTGAAAAGCACTTTTTATTTATTTTTTCCTGGAGATGATGGATAGGGGGCATCTCAATTTTTTTTTTTTAAGAGAAAATAGAAGCAAATTACGGAAGGAAGAGAATATATAGACACTAGTGCAAGGTGTTTCAATAAGAGCGTTCTTCATTTTCTTCCTTTCTTTCTGTTTTCCTTTCTCTTTCTTTTCTTTCTTTCTCTCTTTCTTTTTTTGAAATCTTAAACCCCATTTCTGGCTTGCATTTGGTAGGATTCCTGCTCTGGCTTTTATTAAAAACAGACGGGTGTTCAGAATCTTCCATCTAAAGCAAGGCTTTAATAGGCGTCGGGACCCTGACCGGCCTCCAGCTCTGCTCAGGTGACTCCCACCACAGGGATTCCCTCCCAGCCTGCTTTGCTGGCCCTCAATCTTGAGGGCTCAGCACAAAACAACCAGCTTTCTCTCTTTCAATTCAAACTCCTCATTTCTGTTTTAAATTTGGGGTGGTACACAAAGCCAGTTCAAGTTAAGTCTGGCTTTAACTTGAGAGCATTCTAAAGATTTTGAATAGCTCAACTGTTGTCCTACAAATTCCCCAATGAGCGAGGTCTCCTTAAACTTGGTGGCTCCCTCTTCCTGGCAATTCAGAATGACTTAGGGACTCCCACCCTTCTGCCTGTGTGCAAGCTCAAAAATACCAAAGCTAACTCCACCCTGTTTAACAGATCAGTTTAGCATCCGAAGCTGATTTTTCTGAAGAGCACTGGCGAGCTAGCTTATTGGAAACCAAGAAGAAAAGCCGTCAAGCAGGCAGGCAAGACTTGCACACTCATTCTTGAGTGAGGCACCGCCACAGGTCCCTCTGGCTCCTTCTCGCAGCAAAACAGACAAAACAGCAGAGAGTTCCAGGCTCCCTCAGGACTCTGCCTGCCCACTCCCCCACCCCACCCCCCAACCCCCGTTTTTCCTCACAGCCCCCATACCATCCTGGCACAGCGGCAGACACTTTCCCAGTCAATTTGAGGTTTTCTAAAACAATAAACTTGATCTTGCTTGTAGCAACATTCAATGTTGAAATGCACGTTTTTTGATGTGGAAAGGAAATTCTTCTGAGCACTGCCGAGCAGTGGTTGACAAGCCGAGTAGGGCTTTACTTCCCTGAGGGACAGCAGCCTGTCTGTATTTTCAGTGGTCACAACTTGGAGGAGGATACAACTGACAGCTAGTGACTGGAGGCCAGGGATGCTGTTAATCATCCTCAACGCACAGGAGAGCTGCCATAACAGAAATGTCAGACCCTGAGGGCCCCTGGTGCCAGCCCCTACTGTGGTGGTGGTGGTTGAGCCTGGGCTCTCAAGTCAGGCTGCTGGGGATTAGAACCTGGTGGAGTGGCACTGGGCAAGCTATTTTACCTTACTGTCTATCTGTAAAATGTAAATAATAGTCTATTTTATTGGATTCATGAACCTTAGATAAAAAGGGTATATGTGGAGCTTTTAGGACAACACTTATATTAAGAGCAAAATAAATATTACTAGAAATTTAGCTCAGTTTCAGATAAATCAGAAGTCTAACAGCATTGTCTCATCTTAAGATCTGAACAGTACTACCATTTTCTTTGTTTCCTAGGTGAGGAACTTATATCTTGGAGGTGAATGAGTCACCCAGATCTTATGACTTCAAAGCCAAGTTTTTCTTGCATACTCTTTGTCTACCAGTTTGGGGTTCTCTTTCCTCTGCCCATCACCCCTAAAACCTCAAGGATCAAAATCCAAGCACCACAGTCATAAAGGTGCATTATGGGTGGTGGACAGCACTGTGTGTGACAGATGTAGTCAGGTTTTGCTTAATGGGACATGTGAATATTCTAACTCTCTGAATTAAAACATTTAACTTCATGCATGGGATAATTTTGTCTTTGCATTTTCTGATTTTGTGGGGTAAAACTCCTTAATACCTTATATCCTTTAACAGTGTCAGAAATAACTGTATATTGACTGCATAGATGAAGGGAAGAATATAGCTTTAACTCAGTATGCTTCAGGTTCCATTTCTGATTAGTTTATGTTGTTTGACAACTAGACCAGAAAATCTGCTTAGAATTGTCAAAATGATTCCATTGCACAGCAGTCTATCTGATACATAATCCTCAGGTCTACATTACAATCTCTGCAGATTTTAAAACAATTGCAGATTAATTGGCTAGACTATACTTAGTTTACATTGAAGTTAGTGATATTGGAGTCACAGTGCAGAGGGCAGATGGATAAAGTTCCTTCAGTCAACGGTTTTCTAGATTTCTTTGGGTAATGGAGAAGGCAAGATCTTAGCCCATGTGCCCCTCATGACCTACACACAGCTTGCCACTACCCAGTCACAGCTGTTTCTTTCCAAGTCCTGGGTCAGGCTCTACTACCAGGCTAGAAAAACGCCATTTACTGGGTCCCATTTGCTTTGGTCTCAAAAATGAGACATTCAAATCTGTGCCAGTTGGTAAATGAGAGGATGCGATGATCACACAGGGTATTTTAACAGGTTTAGGCACCATAATTTTGTCTTGTGCTCACTGCCCCGACCACCAGTATGAAAATCGCAAACCTGTAGAGTAAGATGTTTTCAAAGGTTTTTGTTTTTTCAAATGTTGTCTGTTATACTGAGAAAAGAACCAAGGAGGACCTTGGGGAGCTTCTGCAGCACAGCTTAGCTTGCTTACCTTGGAACACTGGGGGGTGCCCTCGTGGGCCTGGAAGGAACTTGCGGAGGGGTTCCGAAGGAGTCACTGCTGTTGGGAAAAGGAGGTAATGGGCCGGGGCGGAATGGGACTGGGGGAGCCCCAGAATGGGGGCCTGGAGAGGGAATGGCAGGGGCTGGTCCACGGCCAGATGTGGGCCTCGTGAGGGGAGCACTTAGAGTTGGCCGCCTTTGGGTGGGGCTTGGAGGAGGTGACCTGAGAAAAGAGACAAAGTTTTAATTTATACACTCTTCCTTCTTTTAACTAATCTTTTTAAAAACAGTTTTGTAATTTCCTGGTTGCTTTTTAAAATTTATTTTTGGCTATATAACTTAGATATATGTTATAAGATGTCCACATACATAAAAGGATAAATGCTGAGATTTTGGTTTCCTTCCTTCCTTTCTGGAGACAATCAATAGCAGTTGCTGGTGTTTCTTTTAAACATATAGGTATGTGAATACACACATATATATAATCGCATACCCTATACTCTCCCTTCTTTTAAGCTTATCTTTCCATTTGGGGAAACTCAACATTATTTTACTCTTTAATGACTGTGTGGTGGTTTGAAAGAAAATGGCCCCCAAAGGGAGTGGCACTATTAGGTGGTGTGGCCTTGTTGGAGGAAGTGTGTCACTGTGGGGGTGGGCTTTGAGGTCTCTTTTGCTCCAGCTTCCCTCAGTGTGACAGACAAACCATTTCCGGTTGCCTTATGATCAAGATGTAGCCAGCATCATGTCTGCCTGCATGATGCCATGCTCCCCGCAGAGTTCATAATGGACTGAAGCCTCTCAACTCTAAGTAGCCACCTCAGTAAAATGTTTTCCTTTATAAGAGTTGCCATGGTCATGGTGTCTCTTCACAGCAATAGAAACCCTGACTAAGACAGACTATCAAGTTTCACTGTCAGGTTCATTAAGCTTCTTCCTGAAGAGAGTTGATGCACTTTGACCCCTCCTGAACTTTTCCCTTTTGCTTTTGGATCCGTATTGGCTTGGGAAAGCATCCTCAGAAACAGAGTGGACAAGCTCAGCAGAGCTCAGGTGCTGTGGAGCTCCCTCCCTACCTGCGGGAATGTTGGAGCCAGGAGTCATCTACTGGAGGTGGGGCTGGGGTTGACACAGTGGCTGTGTTGATGTCACCAATGATCACAAGGGCTTCTTTCAAGGCTTGGTACATTCGGAGCATCTCATCCCGGCGCTGAGCCTGCTCAGCAGACTCTTCCATCAGAGTGTTTTGGTCCTCAGAAGAATATAGTTGTGCTAGGAGCTCAGAGTTGATGAAGTCTTTAACCTGTAAGAAAAATAACATGAGAAGGAATTAACACAGACTCTGTTGTTATAGCCCACAAATGTCTCCCCACCCCTGAGAAAAGAGAAATGCCATAAGACTGTTTTCTTTGCCATTGCATTGGTGCACAGAAAAGTCTCCCTTTTGGTCTTTCAAAACAATGATGGTATGATAACTGAAGAAAGGTCAAGCCTTGCTACCACAAGAGTAGGGCTCATTAGCTGTGGGAAGGTCTCATGAGGTTATTAGAGGCTACTTGGTTTATACAACAGGAAGGTCCTGTGAGGTAAGCAGCATTATTTTTGATAGAAAATGGTGGTGCAAAGAGAGCTTTGTAGTTCAACAAGTTTTCTATTCCTCAGCATTCTCATCAAAATAATCAAACATTATTGAAGTTTTTTTTTTTTTTTTTTTTTTTGAGACAGGGTCTCTCTGTTGTTTTGGTGCCTATCCTGGATCTTGCTCAAACTCACAGAGATCTGCCTGGCTCTACCTCTCTAATGCTGGGATTAAAGGTGTGCTCCACCACTGCCTGGCACATTATTGAAGTTTTCAGGGTATAGTAAAAGCAAAATTAGCATGTATAAGTGGATATTAAATACTGATTGTAACTATAACTATAACTATATATATATATATGAGAACTATGCAAGTTGATTGAAAGCAAAAAGAGATATATTTTCTAGAGGTTTGCAAGCTAAGTCAGTTAATGATGATGAGGACTGGACATGAGGCTTCATAGATGTAACAGATACATAAACAATGCACATAAGTCTTGGTTAAACAGTATCTTGTAGCAGGATGGGAACAGAAAGGGTACATAAGACAGAGGGCGAGGGGGCCAGTCCCTATGCTTCATCAGATCTAAGCATTAGCCACCCACTTTGTATGACAGTAAGGAGAAAATATCAGCTAATCTATGATAAAATGTCCAGTTATCATTGAATATAAATGCATGCCCATACTAAATGTGAGAAAATGAATGTGCAATCAATGAAATATATATATCCCCAATTTCTTTAAAAATTATTTGATTTAATTCACCACATAGTGATGAAATAAAATTAAAACTCCACAGATGCAAAAACAAATTTAGGGACTGTTTCAGTGATGTTTCCAAGGTCATATAGCTGTAACTTCAACCTGAAGTCTTCTGCTCAATGCTAATTCAATTTCCTAAAAACATATCACAATGTTTAAATGCTTAGAAAAGACAATTTACATTTCTTCCTCTTCTTTTGTTTTTCAAGACAGTGTTTCTTTGTGTAGCCCTGGCCGTCCTGGAACTTGCTCTAGAGACCAGGCTTGCCTTGAACTCAGAGATCTGCCTGCCTCTGCTGGGATTAAAGGCGTGTGCCACACTCTGTTTTCTTATCATGCTGGTAATCCAAGGTCCTTTGCATAAGTGTATACTCCCCCATTGAACTATACCACCAACTTAACGTTGATAGTTTAGAGAAGCTAGCAAGTATGATGATTTAAACTAAGAAAAAAAGAAGCCAATTTAAAGTTTTCAGTGCTTCTGTTATTTGAGAAATACATCTTATCTGGATTACTTAGATCCAGATAAAATGCCAAAGCAAGAGTATTTGTTTAAAATTTAGAATGATGACAGGACACCATCATGTGCTCAGTTAAGATTCCTGGATTGTAGTTAAGATTGTTACTCAAATGAGAAGATTCTAAAACAGTTTCCTTTTTTTAAATGGAATTTTTTTTCTTTCTTTCTTTTGCATTTTTAAAAAAAATTTTATTTATTTTATTTTACAATACCATTCAGTTCTACATATCAGTCAAGGGTTCCCCTATTCTCCCCCCCTCCCACCCCCTCCCTTACCCCCAGCCCATCCCCCATTCCCACCTCCTCCAGGGCAAGTCTCCCCCCCCCACCCCCCACCCAGGACTGCAATCAGCCTGGTAGATTCAGTCCAGGCAGGTCCAGTCCCTTCCTCCCAGACTGAGTCAAGTGTCCCTGCATAAGCTACAGGTTTCAAACAGCCAACTCATGCAATGAGCACAGGACTTGGTCCCACTGCCTAGTTAAATGGAATTTTTAAAAACTGAGACCACTGCAAGAGGGCCACAGGGTAGGGCTGCAGATAGGTTTCCCCTACAGGTGAAGTCAGTGGGTCACATGGGCCAAGGGCATGGGAGGTCTTCCTATGGTTTTTTGTGTGTAGCACTTGGGTATGTAGTTTGTACTATTGAAGGAAGGCAGTCCAGTTTAGCTGGTGTACAATTCTCAGATTAGCATGAGCCACTCACTGTTGAATAGAACTTCCAGTCCTGGTCCAAGGCTAGGATCACAGGGGGCTAGGTTGCATGCAGCTCTGTGATGCCATTCCTGTCTGACCTTCATGATTTTCTGGGCAGTCTTTGGATTTGCAAAGATAGACTGACTCAGAATATGTGCTGATGAACTTTCAAGATGGTAGATGAAGACAGTTGCTGCCACGTCTTAGAACATGAGTTTGATCACTGGGTTTCACGTAATGGATAGATAGCAAAGACTCAGATTCCTTGCAAGTTGTCCTTTGGCAAGAGCACTCTAGTAGCACTGTGGGTGAACACACACATAAACCATAGTGCCAAATGGGAAGACAGATAACTGATTGACTTCATTCCTTGCCCAGAGTGAGCAGATACTTAAGTTGAGTTTGGAGAACTGGTGGATCTTATTTCTTGAGAGGGGAGGGAAGGGGAGACAGGAGAGAGGACCAGTTTCTTTCTCTCTCTCTCTCTCTCTCTCTCTCTCTCTCTCTCTCTCTCTCTCTCTTCTTTCTTGTAAAGATTTCAATTATGTAACTAATTCTATTTGTAAGAGCACCAGCTGAATTAGTCTTATTGTGTTGAAATTAACAGTTCCCTGCATATATTTTGTAAACCAAGAGTGATTCAAACATGGGAGAGATGGAATACATACTGTATTCAGGGGACTGTCTGGAAGGTGTAGAAAGTAAATTTGTTCAGTGAGTCTAGGACAAAATATGAGATCTCTGGTACTAATGAAAAATGTTTAAACTTTATCCATTTGGCAGTATGACACCATGAAAGGCTTTTGACAAGTGAAACAGGTCATTAGAAAAATTAATCTGGTTTTAATTGGAAAAAATTTGCAAGCTTAGTAGTAGAGACAGACCCAATAGTAGGCTGTTGCTTATTCATGGAATGATGAGAATTTATCAGTGCCACAGAATGGAAAGGATGGGTACATGTGAATAACATTTCAAAGGAAAAATCATCTGGTGGTGTCTACATGAGAAGAGCAAGGAAGAAAAGAACCAGTGAAAGGTGTCTCTAGCATTGATAATGGAAAATCAAATGGCAGAAAGGAAAGACGGATTTTGAAGAAAGGTAGAAAATTTGGCCTTTGGAATATTTCACGGTCTTTGAGGATTCATTCACTTCTAAACACACATGCAGGTACCCACGAAGGCAGAGATTTTTGTACAGACCTTCCATTGTTGGGTGTGTGTGTGCACTTGGATATGAGGTGCAACTTAAAACTCAAAACCAGACTATTTCCCTGGCATCAATCATCAGTTGGGTTGAGCTCTTTTGAAGTTTTACATCATGCTGGAGTATCACTTAGGAGCTATTAAATAAATTTTTCAAAGAAGATCCAAGAATAGTTCTAAAGCAGATCTGAATTATGAATCAACAGTTCAATTATGGACTGAAATAATGAGTTCTGCCTGATACTACACACCAAAGCTTACCTGCTGCCCAGTATGCCCTCATTTGGCAGTGCTGTGAAGGAGTGAGGGCTGGTAATAAGAGGAAAGGCACATTGCTATTGTTTTCCCTGTAAGTGGGCTCTATTGGCTTTGGGGAGACAGAGGCGGGAAGCTATGGAGAGCTATTGTAATAGTGTGAATGTCAAGATGACCAGGCCTGGGGTGGAGCTCCGGGAGTCCAGTTAGCGAGAAAGAGGAGGGTTTATATGAGCAAGAATTGTTGAAACCAAGGTCGGATAAAGCACAGGGACAAATAGCCAAACAAATGGAAACACATGAACTATGAACCAAAGGCTGAGGGCCCCCCAACTGGATCAGGCCCTCTGAATGGGTGAGACAGTTGATTGGTTTAATCTGTTTGGGAGGCATCTAGGCAGTGGTACCAGGTCCTGTGCTCATTGCATGAGTTAGCTGTTTGAAACCTGGGGCTATGCAGGGACGCTTGGCTTGGCCTGGGAGGAGGGGACTGGACCTTCCTGGACTGAGTCTACCATGTTGATCTCAGTCCTCGGGGGGTGGGGGGCTTTGCCCTGGAGGAGGTGGGAATGGGGGGTGGGCTGGGGGGAAGGGGAGGGGGGCAGGAAGGGGGAGAACAAGGGAATCCGTGGCTGATATGTAGAACTGAATTGTATTGTAAAATAAAATAAAATTGAATTAAAAAAAAAAAAAAGACATGTGCTTAAAGACCCCAAATGGGTTAACATTTTATTTTAGATGTAAGGAAAAGTTTAGGCTGTCTTCTGGGTAGCCTAGCCTTGCCTTTCAATGCTACAACTAGATTTTGGAACAACAAACCCAGTTGATGGGGGTGGGGACATTGGTGGGGAGGTGTTTCCAGACAGTTTAGGGGCTTTCTGAGCCATTTGGGTGTCAGTGGCACAAATATTTAAATCAAGGATTCTGCAACACAATTAGAGACCCAGTAGATCTTTCTTAGGTGATAGCATTTGGAAAATACCTCCGAGAACAGAACAGACCAATTATACTTGGACAGGATATTTGGGGCAATATTTATGCTTTTAATTATAACACCTTATAACCTATACATCTTTGTGTGGCTCACAAAAATTCTCACACACAAAATCCCATTCCAGCTCAAACTCTGCAGGCTAAATAAACAGGCATTACCACACCATGTCCCACTGCTCAGTGTAAAGGAATGTGAGGTCATTAAAAATGTTCCACATGGTTTTCCCCCTTCTAACTTTTAACCCTTCCCTAGTCCCCTGGAAGATGTTTGGCTCTTATCTTAAACTTTCTTTGTTATGACTGAGCCATTTTAGCATCTTTACCAAGAGACAGTTCGGTTGCCTGGGAGATCGTTCCACAGTGTAGTCTCTTGGTGAAATAGGGTGATGTGGTTTCACATGTGTAAACTTTTTCACTGAGTAGTTTCATTTTGTTCATCTGGGGATGTGACACTCAGGTCATTGTCCTCCCTGCCTTCTCCCCATCCCCCCCCGTGGATTTAGTTCTGCTGGTTTCCTTCTGCAAAATACAACCTCCATGGACTCAGTGCCGGACAAAGGAGGTCAGAAAAATGCACATGCTGTGAGGTCCACAGTTCAGAGACAGGCGAAATATAAGAAAAAGTGGGAGTGTTCCTTGGTGGGGCTGAAGGTAGGAGAGCCTCTTGTGAACATTTTGGGAGTGGGGGAGATGCTGTGTTTGGCCTCTACAAATGGATCATGGTCTAATTCTGGAATAATGGTTTGGCATTAAGGACATGTTTTGAAACTAGGGCACATGGTACTGCTTTTCCACCAAAGAGCAGATGACCAGGAAGGTCATGGTGGACCTGTGGGGGCCTTGGGGACTCAACAGTACCATCCCAAGTGTGAAGAGCTTCTGGGTTTCATGACCTCAGTGGATTTTTTTTTTCCAGAATTCATAAGAACTTTTAAATGTCACTTTGTGTCTCACATTCAAACAAACTCACAGAATACAATGTTTTAAGACATTGTTTCTCATGTTCAAATGAATTCTAATTAAATCTTTGAGTCACAGGACGTGTCCTGGGAGATAACCCTGTGGCCATACTGGGTCGGGGGAGAAGCTCTCTGGGTAGGGCTGACTTAGAGCTCCCAACCCGAGGCACCTTGTCTGCTGCTGGAGCAGAGACAGCATCAGACTGAGAAAAAGCCCCTGAGTCCCCCAGCTGTGCAGCCGCGGCAAGTCACTTTCCTGTGCCTCAGTTCTCCACGTAGAAGATGTGGAAGAGAACACATTTTCAAACAAAAAACCACCCGCCATACATGTTTTAGAATAAAGCTGGCTTCCCGTATTCTGTGATGGAGCACTCCTGGTGGGGTGAGATCTGGGGGAGACGCCATCGTTATGGGCTATTGTGTGTGCTGGTCTTAAAGTCCCACGCAACTTTGCTGCTCCGACTTTAACTTGGGGCCGCCTGTCATAAAGGCGCTGTTCCTTTGTGCCCTGTTACCTGGTATGTTTAAGTAACGAAACAGCTGCTGGCTTTCAGTAGACAAAGGCTTACAGTATGTCTGAGGCCAGGCATTTATGGCCCGGCTTTAAACTTCTTAAACAATTCCATATGGAGAGCTGAGTGGCAGAACACTTAATGTAAACTTTCAAAGGAAACTGCCCACTGAATCCTGAACTTTATGAAAGCTGGCTGAAACATATTCCTTTTCGGGAGGCCAGGCAGCCATTCCTGCTTCGAGGGTGAAAGGCCACGGGCCAGGAAGACAGAGAGCACATCTTCAGCATTTATTTGTTCTGATGGAATTCCAGTTTACAGAATAGGTAGAATTTAGACTACTTTTGCTAGATGTGGTTCTATTACTAATTCTCTCATTTTATCAGTTCAAACTGAATTTAAAACTCCAGCTTCCCTGCATGGTATAGGGCTGTTGATTTATTAGGTCTGTTTCTTTGTACTTAACAAGATACATCTGGAATGAACAGAAAGGCTTGGGCATTGAGATGCCATGAGAGTGTAAGTACATTGTTTAAAGAAGATTTCATTCTTTATTTGAAAAAATATATATGTTAGAAATATATATTATAGATATAAAATGTTATAGATACAAAATGTTTTTTATACATAGGAAAAATAGAGGCACAATAATAATACTCACGAAAAGTCATCATTGTATGTGTCTACCACTCATTCTGGTAGATGCAAAAACTAAATTTCTCTGAGAAGGCAGCATGTCCTCTAATAGTTGGTTTTCTCTGTCTTCCCATTAGTCTCTGACCTTGGAGTTCAGGTCTTAATTGAAGTCTCCTTTCCCATGACTCTTACGTGAGGTCTCTCTCGAGATAACTGGCAGAGCTTGCCCTCCAAGAATAATATTCTGGAGGTGAGTGTTTGGGCATTTCATTAAAGCAAGCAAATTCAGGAATGAAGGGCTGGGGAAACTACAATTATCCATGTGTGTGTTTTCATTTAATGTTTGAGGTGAAAGCAGAAGAGATTTGCAGTAGGATTTTTTTTTTCTTCTTTTTAACTAATTTGTGTCAAGCTACTTCTCAGAGCCACAGACAGGAAGTACGATTTCCTGCGCTGATGATTTAATATAACGCAGAGCAAAGCGGAGCTGGAACCGAAGACAGGACTAATGACTCTCGGGAAACCAGTGGAAAGATAAATGATCCCTAATCAGGACAATGTTTAAATAAGCAAGTGCCTGATACACCACAGCAACACAACCTGAATTCATTTACGCAGTTAAGAGGGTAATTTTCAAGACACACAGACTATTTGTTCAGTACTTCAGATTTGTCTAAATAGCTAGCAGCCACATCTGTCACATTGTCTGATAGTTCTGTGAGGTCCCTTCACATTTCCACTGACGTTCCAGAAGTGACTGACTTCAGCTCAGCGGGCCTAAAAAGCCGGACTTTAGGTCAGACAACTGACCCCTGAGCAGCCATGGTGATATTTATAGTTTCTGCTTTTCCAGCTCATTGCTTACCTGCTGTGTAGACTTCAATATCTTACTTGGATACACAAAAATAGTCAAATGTAAGATTGGTCACCTGAGTGCTCAGGACTTCTTAAAGCAAGGCATATACAATTAGAGGTTATACACAAGCAGATTGTCATGAAGCACTTTAGAAATACATCTTGAAACACAGAGAATGATTAATAGTCCTTAAATAGGCAGCCATATTAATTACTTACATTTGCCACAGTACCTTGGCATACCTATCCTTCTGGAACAGATCCTTAAGGAAGACACAAACCCACAGCAGCCAATTGGACCCATTAGGTCAAGAGCCCAAGAACCAGGGTTAGAACCCAGGTTTGTCCTGAAGTCTAGTGTAGGGCTCTTTTCACTTACACAGTTTGGTTTTTGACTTCTCACAAACCATGTTCATAATATATTTAAAACAAAAGATGTCCCAAGAAGGTACATAAAGTGCTTGGTATCCCACTAACAAGATTCAGAAAAGGCCATTTTTTTCTCGATTAACTGTTTTCGTTTATACTTTAAAAATTGAACTACCAAAAGAACACAGCCAGACTGCACAGGTTAAATACCACAGCCAGACTGCTGTCAACCAAAGAAGGAAAGACCCAGATGAAATGAATCCACTAGTGGCTACACTAGTGGAGCTCTGAAAGACTGGTGGTTATAGCATCCTTTTCTTAGGCACCCAAGCTGAACTGGGCACAGTGGCTCACATCTGGAATCCCAGCATTGGGGAGGCTAAGATAGGAAGGGTCCCCTGAGATCCAGGTCAGCCTGGGCTGCAGAGTGAAACCCTGTCTCAAACAAGCAAACAAATGAAAACAAAACAAAACAAAAATATGACTGACTGTACAGTCAGGGAATAAGGTAAGAAGTCCTTTCCTAGGTGAAAAAGAACATTCCATAGTTTGTAGATGATACAAATGATCATATTAACATAAACTCGGTGCGTGTAGGAAAAAGTATTATCCTTGGCTTTTAATCTCAAGGTCGAGACTAGGCATCTGATTTTCATTGCTAACTTTGCAAGTCCACGAATATGGTATTCTTTGCTCCTTTCTAGAAGAGAGCCAACCAGAAGGAACTTGATGCTGTGGCTGGAAATTCCCTCTCTGTTCTCTCTCATTGGTTACCCACTTATAAAGGCAGAACCACACACCCAGGCAGTAAATAATCTGGTTATTCAGAAAATGTCTCAGAGATACTCAGGAAAAGGTGATCAGTTTCCAGGTGAGGAAGGGTCAGAGGTTAAAAGGAGGGAGTTTATAAACACTTACATTATTGATCATCAGATGCATTATTGTTTTTGGAATTAGGTCTCGGATGCATTTGTTGATTATTGACATGTAAGAGTCTACTAGGTTGCGTATGGTCTCCACTTGCCTCTCCAACTGTGGGTCCATGGAAAAGTTTTCTGCTTGGCCATTTTCATCATTTTCATTCTAACAAAAGGGAAACAAAATGTGGATTATGTCATATTCTCTCAGAATAAAAACAATACCAAACATCCAGTGATTGATTTCTGCTTAGATCTGGTTGTCATCCTACTTTGAACTCACCGTGTCCTAGCAAAAGCAAACATTCTGAATGAACATTGAGATGAATAACCAAATAAACAGCACACCTAACAACATGCCTCGGGAGAACAACCTATTCTTAAGCCATTGGTAAGCTGCCCAGAGGCCTGAGTCCAAACAGATGATGCAGACGACAGCCTCTGGGAGTAGTCTCCAGGGATCCTATAGATTAGAATAACCTTGATGTAGTTCTGGCACTGCTGGGTTTGCTCTGGATTGGATCAGCCCAGATTCAAACCTCAATCCCCTAGGACTGGCCAGGAGTCCAAATCTGAGATCTGGAAGATAATTCATTCTTTCATGCACTTGCTGGAATTTGCTGTGTAAATTCATGCGTCTGTCACCACTGCAGAGGACTGGCTCCATTGTGGAAAACCAGCCATTTTAACTTCCAATGTGTTATTCTTTGAATAAAGCAGAACCCTTTCATACACAAAGAATTTATTTGTGCAACATGAGTGGAGCATCTGTTTTCTATACTCTCTGACTTGAGTTAATTAATTTTGGCTTATCCACCCAGAGGCTGGGCTGGAATGGCATCTTCATCATTAAGAGCTGACCTATTGGCTTGGCATTGAAATCAATTTAGAACAAATGGTCTCTATTTCAAGTCAGGTTGAACCATCTAAACCTCAAAACAGCATACAGATATTGTTAGTGGTCTGGCTACTTTCTCATATTTGGAAAGATTTAATTATGAACGAGGGGGGAGGGCGCGATAATTTATTGCTCCTAACATTGGCTTGGAGTACTTTTCTTTGGAAATGTATGTACTTTGATCTGCCAGGTTTTCAATCAGCTTCAGGCCAAAGCACTGTGCTAAATAACTGGATCTATAAATGACGAGTCTTTTCTTTGAATCGATAAACGTGTATGAAAGCCACGTTTTTAGGTTACAAAACCATCAATGATTAAAAAAATGTATAAGCATTTCTATATCAGAAGTGTCTCTTTGAAAATGTTAAGACATTGTATGCTCACTCTAAAAATCAGTGGTCCTTTTCTGCCTTGAGAATGTGACCCCATACTTTGATGTGGGCTAGCAGAATAAGAGGATTTCTAGGGTGGCTCGAATACTCAGAATGTTAGTGATTCTGCTGTTCTATTTTTTTTTTTTAAGTGGTCTCAGGTCACTGAAAAAATTAAATCTGGTGTAATAGTTCTTTCTTTTTTAATGAGCTTGTGACAAACTGATGCTTTAGATGAAAAGAGTCGAAGACATTCCTAGTTAAAACCTTATTGAAAATGCATAACTGCTACAACTACACACATCCCTCTGTTAGCTGCAGAAGCCCTCTCTTCCTAGCTTGTGCCAATTCCTTTCGTATTTCCAGTCCGCTTCACCATTCCCTCTTCAGACAAGCCCCTGCTGTTCTAAGATCTTCCACTGTTTCTTCCTCTGAACGCATTCCTGCACTTACTTATATTATCTACCATTCATCTTAACTCTGTGCTTTCCCCCCACTAGAGTCCAGGATTGTATTCCTTCATTCTTAGCATAGACCTCAGTGTTATCGGAGGAAAGAGGAGGTGGTTCATGCTACAAATGGGTTTACCTAAGTCAATGAAACTGCCCTAATGCACCAAACATAGACCTTTATGGAGAAAAAGTGTTTTCTATGTAAAGCAACATAAGCCTCCACAATGATATTACAATCCAGTTTGTTGCTCTGGTCTACAAGATTCATGGGTTTTGCTATTGTATTTAGCCATGGGTGTGATAGTGTTTCAGTATCAACCTGTTCTCTCTCCCAGAGCCTATTTCAGTATTTGTTGTGTTTTATAGACCATAATAAGCACTTTGTATAGTAGAGCTGGGAGGTGGGTACCAGGGTTATCGTACCCCATAGAGGAGCACGATAAAGTTCTGAAGTCCATTCAACTAATGTAAAATGAGCATGATTTCAAAAACAGGAAGTATAAAATAACTATTACATCACATGAAGTAATAAAGAATTTAAAAACTTTCTAGGAAAATGTCATTAAAATACTGTTTTCTCAAGAACTAAAGAGGAAAGCTGAATCCCCAAGACACATTGAACCTCCAGGTAAAAAACTGTTATTTGATTTCATATAGAAACTTGGAACCTCCCCATTCCACACTAGTTAATTAACATTTAGCCTTGCTTTGCATTTGCTTTTGTACTTCTTGAAATCAGAAGCAATAATCAAAGTATCGGAATGAACAACACATACAGGGGTAGTAGAGGAAACACCCCAGGACAGGCTAGGACTTTGTGAAAAGGACCCTGATAGTGCATGGAATAAAACCAAGAATTGGTAAGTGGGATTGTGTGACAAGCTTCTGCACAGAAAAGGAAAAAGCAAAGCCACAGCCTACAAAATAGAAGGAAATCTCTACCAAGAAGATCTGACAAGGGATCAATATCTAGAATCTATAATGAACTAAGAAACTCAAATGCTAAAATACCTCAAATCCTCCAGTCAACTAATGGACAAATGAACAAGATTCTTCTAAAACAATGCAGTACAAGTAGCCAACACACATGGAAAAGTTCCTTAGCATCCAAGAAAGGGAAACCTATACGGAGATAGCAGATTACCTCGTCAGAATGGCTCTTCCTAAAACAAAAACCAAAACCCACATTAAGTGCTGGTGGGGGTGGGGCAGAGGACACGTGCACATTGCTGCTGGGAACAGAAATATGCTCTGCAACTATGGACATCAGGATGGAGTTTCCTCCAAAACAAAAACCCAAACGACCATATCATCCAGCTCTGCTACTCCTGGGGGCAGACCCAAGAAGATGTAAGTCAGTGTAACACAGAGATACCTACTCGGCCATGTTTTCCACAGTACTCCTCAGTGCAGCCAAGCTATGGAATTTGCCTTGGTGCCTCTCAACAAGTGAATGCATGAAGAAAAGGTAATATACATACATACATACATACATACATATATGTATCTTTTATTTTACCATAAAGAAGAATCAAATTCTGCCTTTTGCAGGAAAATGGATGGAATTGGTGCACCCTATTAAGTGAATAACCCAGACTCAAACAGACCAGTATCACATTCTTTCATGAGGAACTTAGGTTTTACACATAAACACACACACACACACACACACACACACACACACACACACACACACACACACGAAAATAGAGGAGGGACAACTGAGGAAGAGAAGACTGGGGGACAGGAGAGTAGTCGGAGTCAACATGACCAAAGTACGTGATAAACTTGAACAAGAACACCATGGAATCCTTTGATTTGAATGACAAATCATACATGAATTAAAAAGTCAAATTTTGAACATAAGTTAAAAATTCCAAATCAGCCAATGAGACAAGATGAAATCCCTGTAGAAATCTAGTAGACTGTGTTCTCACACAAATCATAACTACTCAGGGAATGCAGTGGACACATTAGGGAAATCATGGAATCCAGAATGCAAACTGACTTCGACTTGACACCGAAGCAGGAACTGGCCTCTCTAGTGTCTCAGGTGAGTGGGAAGGAGTCTGTAGGTGGGATTCTTTAATCAAACACTTGCAGCAAACAGACAGGACATGCCTTTCCTCTGCCCCCGACCTCAGCTCAAATCCTCTTGCCTCTTTCTGGTTGTGTGCTGTGTATGATTTCGTAGTTTTTTCTTTGTTTAAATTATAGGATTGCAATTGGATTCTTTGCAAAGTACCAAAGTGACAGCTGTTTATCATTATCCTCATCAAGGGAATGTAAAATAAAAATAGTAATTTGTCTCTGATCTTTGGGGCAAAAACAGAGTGGTCTGCAAACATTTAACCTTTTATGTGCAGGTTCATTGATGCTGTTTACAAAATGTGAATGATACGGTAGAAACATTTTCTTCCCTGAAAAACACCATGGACAGGCCATCTTGCTGCATGTTTTTTTTCTAACAGCTTTTGAGATAGCCAATTAAAGCAATGAAAACAACCTTACAAATATGAAGTTTACAAAGTTTCATATATCTTATGAATTAGTCACACGGTATTTAAGAAACAGACTTCCGTTTTCTTACAAAATTTTAACTAAAAAAATCATTACATCTCTTCTTCCACCACGTGGGTCCCAGTGATTGAACTTGGGCGGCCAGGCTTGGTGGTGAGCACTTTTACCCCTGAGCCACCTCGGTGGCCCCCCAATTTTTAGTAGAAAAGTTCTAAAGTATACTAATTTAAGAGGTGAGGGAGTGAAATGTTAAATGGGGGGGGGCAATTTTCATTAAATATTGAAGGCTCCTTTACAGAACTCAGAGTTTGACTGGAACACCTATTTTTCAGGTCTTTCTTATTTTCCTTAGACAAATCTCTAAGTTATATCATAGCTTGAGAACCACTGGAACCACCCAGAAAGTAATGTTGAGACCAACCCTTCAAAATGGAGTAATGGATATTAAAAGTGTCTAAGCAGTAATATGTACATAAAATATATCAAGGCCAGGGACTCACTGCATCTGTTCTCAATAGTGGAGAACACTGTAGGATAATATCTAATAGATCTATGCCTGTTTTCCAGATAACCAACAGTTGCCTTCTCTAAGACACTGAATATGATTATACAGTTCACGACTACTTTAAACAAAGAATAAAAAATATATATGATTGGACTTTTCCTTAGTGAACCCAGTCATCGTTATGAAAACACTGTTACTATGGAAATTCACCTTCAGATTTTTCCAGCCCCACATTATTGGAAATGTTTTTACTGAAAACTTTCCCGACTTCCCGTCATTTGCCTCTTAAGTTATGGCTCTAAAGGTATGTAACCACACTTGTACAAAAGAGTCTGTGGACTACGGTCCAGAAAGTTGAAGAGGGTGGTCTAGGTGTCAGGCGGGCAATGTGACAAGTGTCAATGAATATTTAGTGTGTGG